TTCCTGATATATTCTGCCAAATTGGATGGTTCGGTGGTAGATTGCGAGAAATATGGTGGTCTAGTGACGAGGATAAGCATAGTGCCTACACTTATATTCTGCTCAACTGTGAGCATTCAGTGACACGTTCATTTGAAAGGTAAATAGTTATGTGAATTTAAATTATATGAAGTACGATGTTATATTAATGTGAATACATTCATTTAATTTGCAATTCCTTTGTAACGCAAGTTGAAGCAGCAATACCTGGAGTATCTGCAACTGAAGTGGACCGACGAAAAAATCAACACTATGTCACGTGGTTAAAATCTCAGGTAATATATATAGTTCAAATATTACGTAAGTAATGCTAATATAAATTGTTAACATACAAATTTTTGTAGGTTGAAGCTGATGATCCATATTACCCCCCCCCCCCATGGTTTCACGATTTGATCCGAGGTCCAGTAGTAAAAGTCACCACATCACATATGTATTTTACACGCTGTTTTACGTTTCATACATACGACTATGGGAGTGGTCGGGCAATAAGTAACTACGGAACATGTGTGAAAGGCGAAACAGACTTTTATGGGATTTTGCAAGAGATTACTGAAGTGGAATTTACGGGATTATTGAAGCTCAAATGTGTCCTCTTCAAATGTGAGTGGTTCGACCCAGTTGTGAACATGAGTGTTCGGTTTAGTAAATTCAGTGTTGTGACTGTCAATTCTTCAAGAAGATACAACAAATTCGAACCTTTCATCTTAGCTTCTCAAGCCGATCAAGTTAGCTTCATTCCATACCCTCGCCTTAGAAGTTCAGGAATAAGTTGGTTAGTTTTTATCAAGATTACACCTCGTGGACGAATAATTTCTGGAGAAGAACCACCTTTGCAAGAAAAAACGTGTGTCGCTGAAGTAGAAGTACCTGATCAGCAAACTGATGAAATCTTTCTTATTGATCCGCGTAATCATCAATACGAAGAGCTTCCCGACAAGTGATGGATTAAACATGTGAAGACGAGTTTGATGGTAGCGATGATGATTCTCCTGATGTTGATGAGAACTCGAATGATTCCGAATGATGTAAAATATGTACCAAATATTGGAAATATGTACCAAATGTTGTTCTTTTATATCAATTAACGGATGTGTAACAAATGTCGTTTAATATAATAAGTATTCATTATGGTTTTAAAAAATTATTAAAAGTTTAGGGTTTATAAAAGTTTAGAAGAAGAAGAAGAAGAAGAAACACGGGCTTCATAAATTTCTTGGTAAATTCGTCGTAATAGAAACACGGGCCTGGTAACTTCGTCGTAATAAAAACACGGGCCTGGTAAAAGCCTTGTAAGTTTACAACGAACTTATGAGGAATATATTATCTATATAAGCACACTCACATACGAGGTTATTCGCCTTGTTCATTCCTCCCAATCTCCTCTCTCCTCTTTTTTTTTTTTTTAAGTTTAGTTTAGGTAGTTAATTAGGTAAATAGTTTAGGTGGTTAGTTTAGAGGATTAGGTTACGTAATTAAGTTATGTATTAATTAGTTTAGGTAATAAGTTTAAGATGAACAGATGATGACTTTTATTATTTTCATTTAGACGACTCCTAGACCGAGACCGATTAGACCTCCTCCTACGTATAGTGAGCTGTTTGGTACTGATGGTATCGGGACATCGTCTTCCGGACCGTCATCTTCTGAGCGTGTGCCGGATTCTCAGGCGTATTATCCCACCAATGATATACCATATCATGAGATGCCTCCACCTCCTGGTCTTGCTCCCGCTCCTGATCCTGCTCCCGCACCCGCAGGTGGTGATCAGGTTCATCCAGATTTGCGGGTACCTCCGACTGCACCATATCCTGCCTATACTGTGGAGGATCTTCTTTCCAAATCGGGACGAGAAGGTTTAGATATTCTGGACCCCGATCATCGGCGGGGTACTTATTGGTAAGTTTTTTTTTTAATTAATTTTTTTTTGTTCTAACAAAGTTTATATTATTTTTCAGGTTTGGAGCAAACAACCGCGTCAGCCGGAGTGTTTCAGACACGATGAAGTGGTATATTCTCGAGGCTCATCCGAATTGGAGTATGACTCCAGACCACGTGAAGATAACGTGGTTTAAAATGTTTGCGGTAAATATTTTTATAATATTTAATATTTAATTTTATATTATTTTTAAATAGTTTTAAAGTTAACTTTTTTGGTTTCAGCAAAAGTGGCATTGACCATTATCGATCAACGAGAAGGTGAAGGAGGCTTTTGTAGCAAAAGCCAAGACTCGTCTTTGCAACACCGTCTCGGATTGGAAGGACAAATGGAAACTCTACAGTTATGAAGGGAAGCCCAAGGAGATCTCGAACTTTGTATGGAATGGTCTCATCCGCTATTGGAGCCTACATGCCTCCGTCAAAAAGTCCAACTCGTGCTCTTCTTCCCGAAGAACGAAAGATAAGTACGGCAATGAGCCCATGCTTCATAGAACCGGCTAAAAGCCTCACGCTGGGATTCATCTAGATTTTGTAAGTTTTATTTTTAATATTTATTTTTTTAATTTTATTTGTTAATTAAGTAATTGAAAAAAATTAACTCTTTTATTTTTTTTGTAGGCCGAGAAGACTGGAGTCATGCCATCTCTAACTGATCTATTCAGGATGACTCACGCCACACCAGATGAAGTTTTTGTGGATCCACGTTCCGAGAAACTCTATAACGATGTGGTTTCTCGGGTTATGGAGCGGCTGATACAACTAACCCAACAGGCTTTCGATGGGTCACCCGTCACATTGACTACAGAAGAAGTCGACCGGATTTTCGAAGAGGTAAAATTATTGAATAAATTTTAATTGGTTTATATTAGTTCTATTATATTAATTAATATTTCAATATTAATGTATTATATAAGTTTTTTTTTGAAACTAGGTGGCTCCTAGAAAGAAGGGACGGACGGTGGGAATAGGCTTCGTTAACGAAGTCCCAAGGGCAACTTCTTCATACACTTCGAGACGGAATGAGAAAACTTCTCAGATGCGGTCCCAGCAGGAGCGTTTAGACTCACCTGAGGATTTGTTGGACACCATGGCGACCGATAACCCGGTTATGCAGAGAGCGCTAAATGAAAGACGGGCGGCTCTCGGAATGCAGCAACATCCTCCCGAGTCAACAGGTCGACCCGTCACGGAACTCACCCGCCCCGACGAATACCTCCGCAACAACATGCCATAGTTTTTTTTGTTTGTTTACTTTTGTATTATAAATTTATATTTTATTTTATGACTTCTTTATATAAAATTTTTAAAACAATTTTAATTTTATAATTTTTGGTTTTATATTTTAAATTACGAATTTTATAAATAAAAATATATAAAACTTTTTAAAAAACTATAAATTATATACATCCAAGTAAATTCCTCGTAAATTTAACTATGAGTTAACATCGAATTACAAGTAAGTTCGTTATAACATTTACTACGACTTTACATGTTCTACTAGTAATTTCCTTGTATATTTACATGGAGGTAACATCGAATATTTACGTGTCTGTTACAAGGAAATGGAACGTCGAGTTTACGAGGAATGTTAACGTTGAGGTTACGACGAACATATGTACTTGTCTTTTACAACGACCCTTCTTCCTCGTAACATTACGTGTCCTTTACGACGAATAGTTCATTATGACGGGCGATTAATAAGGAAACATGTTTCCTTGTTAATTCGTCGTAATGCTTCTATTACGACGAATTAACTAGGAATATATAACCTTAATAAAAAATTGTTTTCTTGTAGTGTGACTAAACTTTAATCTCACAGAACAACTCAAATAACATTAAAACAAAAAAAAAATTAAAGTATATAGACTGCGTGGTTCAAAAACCTAGTTTAATATAAATATTTGATATTCAGAAATATTTTTTTAAATGCTTATTTATTCACTGTCATGATTTACAGTAGAACCTCAATAAATTAATACTCGATAAATTAATAATCTCTCTAAATTAATAAATTTTTTTTTTTGATAACCCAATATCCGACCACAAAGCGTGATCGACTAGCCCACCGGGACTAAGCCCATGCCATGACAGGATTTTTAAACGTCCACTTAAGGGCCCCTGGTTACGCTAAGTGGTCTGGAACGCCACACCAACTCCGCAGGTAAATTATGTGGTGGCCGGGGTTCGAAGTCGGATGGCGAGCACCTCAGCCGAGGTCCCAACTTGGGCCGGTTCAAAATTTGACACAAATCAATAAAATAATAAGATAATAATTTTTTAGAAAGTTCTATGTAAATATATGGTCCCATTAAAATCATAAATTAATAATTTATATTTATACATATTTTATATAAGTAATAATCTATTATTATATTCTTTGTTTGTTTTATATTTACAAGGAAATTCTCTTTATATTTTCTTGACACTTAATAAATTGTTGATGAGATTTAGTAATATTATATCTAAAACCATATTTAAATTCTATGAAATATATATTATATACACCAAGTAATATAAGTAACTGTCAAATTTCAAAAAATGATAATAAATATCTATATCCTAAAATAAAATATTTTTTTATTTTAGAGTAAATATATCTTAAAATAAAAAGAGCTAAATAAGGAAACTTTGGTAAATTAATATCTCTATAAATTAATAAAATTTCAAAGTCCCGACATTATTAATTTATAGAGGTTTAACTGTATAGTGTAATGTACTTCCCTAATATGGAAAATTTCGTCACTCGAATGCTAAACATAAATTTTAACTATGGCATGTACATTTTAATCCATACGCAAAGAATAATATTAAATGTCACGATTTAAATTCTAACAATGGCAAGAATAATTAATGCATTCGTTTTTAAAATAAGAAAATTAGAGTTAGTTAAAGAAATATGCTTGCTAGTTGTAGTTGCTTTACTCTCCAGCTCACGCAAATCTTAACGCGTTTAAAAACGCGTTATTACGTCACTCTTTATCTCCCTTATTTATAGATTCCATAAACCATAACAGACCTTCGTCTTCTCTTCTCCACCACACTCTTTTCGTTTACTCTCAGATTCTCTCTCATTTGTTGCAAATGTCGAAGTACGGAGCTCGTAGCTGCTTAGGTTCGATGGACGACATCCGCCAAGTCTTCCAGCGATTCGACAAAAACGGAGACGGCAAAATCTCCGTCGACGAGCTCAAGGAAGTGATCCGCGCGCTCAGCCCCAACGCATCGCAGGAGGAAACAGTGAAGATGATGAAACAGTTCGATCTCGACGGGAACGGATTCATCGACATGGACGAGTTCGTCTCTCTTTTCCAGATCGGAGTGGATCAAGGCGGAGGAGGAGGGAACAGCAAAAACGATCTGAAGGAAGCGTTTGAGTTGTACGATCTTGACGGTAACGGACGGATCTCGGCGAAGGAGCTTCACTCTGTGATGAAGAATCTGGGAGAGAAGTGTTCTGTTCAGGATTGCAGGAAGATGATTAGCAAAGTTGATACTGATGGTGATGGTTGCGTTAATTTCGAGGAGTTTAAGCTGATGATGAACAACGGCGGAGCTTGAGAGATTCCGTTTTTCGACGGTGAGGATCGTGTTAGGGTATAGAGGAAGGTAGAAAGTTCTATTTTATGTTCTCTGATTAGATTTTATTTTTAGACTGTTTTCGTTTGATGACGCAAAAACTTTTCCTTCTTCACTATTAAGATTGTTTACTAATGGGCCTGCCTGACTTGCTAGTCTGATGTTCCAACCTTGTTTCAACAGTTCCAATTGCAAAATTCAAAGGAATATGTGATGTAAAATATTTTATCCGTAGGATTCGAAGATATGAAATAATGAATATAAAAAAACATGTTATGAACATAAATTAATAAATTTTCTCGGATTCAATTCATTGCAATTTTCCTGTCGAACTCACCGGAATCTCACCGGATCTCGTTCACCGATCATCATTTCACCGTCGATTTGCATCTCTCCTCGCTCTCTTGTGCTATTCAAGCTTTTGGCTGAATCGATTCTCAATAGGAAAGCGAAACTATAAACCGAAGTATTTTTATGCTCATCCAAATTCGCCGGTTGCAGATTCTCTGCGTCTTACTCCAATCCAGCTCGTCAGCCATGGGAGTCTTTATCTCCTAAATCTGGTGACGCAACTTGGTTCGTTAATCATCGATCTATTGTGATCTCTTACACTGATCGTTTTGAGGTATCCAATAGTCCTGATAATATTCATTATCCGTACTACTTGCATAACTTCGATCATCCTGCCCTAGTCTTTGTCTCAGAACCATTATATAGAAACAATTATGGAATCTAGTTGATTGCTATGACAACTAGTCTGGAACCTAAGAATAAGCTAGGTTTATTTGATGGATTGATTGCTGATCCTCTCAAATGATCAATATTTCAAAATTTGGTGTCGTTGCAATAACATGCTCAAATCTTAGTTGCTGAATAGTGTCTCTAAGCAGATCTATACTAGCATTCTCTACATCAACCATGCTGCTGATATATGAAAATATTTGCACCTTCGGTTTCATAAAGCAAATCTTCCATGTCTATACAAGTTTCGACATCAGATTCATTCATTGCTCAGAGGAGTTTCTTGTCTCAAACGCATGCTCTTTGGGAAGGATTAATCAGCATTCAACCACCTGCATCTACTGTTGAAGAGTTCTTAGCTGAGAAAGAAACCAACCATTCATTTTGTTATGGGATTGAATGAAAGCTATGAGAATATTCGCAGCAGGATCTTAGTGAAGAAAAACCTTCCTTCTTTATCAGAGGTGTTCAATCTTGTTGACCAGGAGGATAGTCAAAGGGATGCTTCCGTCCTGCCTTCTCAGGATCTCTCTACTACAGCCTTTCATCTCTCTCAATCTTCAGGACACGGATCACTCACTCATTCTCAATCTTCTTCTTCAACTTCTAATGGACCATCTAGGGGGAAGAAAGACAGACCATATTGTACTCATTGCTATCGCGTTGGGCATGTTGCTGACAAGTGTTACAAGAAACATGGTTATCCTAACACCTTCAAGATAAGTCAGTGAAATGATAAGATCTCTATTGCAGTTACTGCTAATGTAACGGTTGACGAAGCTGTCTCAGATGATTTGTCTCTTACTCAGATTCAACAACTCGTCTCCTTCCTCAGCAGAAAACTTCAGAGTCCAATGGATTATCCTATAACCGAGGTTCACTATGTCTCAGTTTCTATGCCTTCCTCATCAAACACTTACCCACTTTCCGGCATTTTCACTCCATCTAGCCTTTGCTCTTTTACCGGAAGTGATAGGCCTTACATCTGTACCATAAACAATGTTGTCAGTGCCACTAATGCTTGGGTGATAGATGCAGGAGCAATTAATCACTTTTTTTTTTATCAAAGATCATCTTTCACTTCTTTCAAAAATCTTCGTGACACTAATGTAACCCTTCCTAATGAAGTTCTGGTGAACATTGTTGGAATATGAAACATAGTCTGGGTAGTCATATTCTCTCAAATTATGTGTTTTACATACCATAGTTTAAGTTCAACCTTCTTAGTGTTAGTTGCATTGCAAAGAAAATGCACTGTCGAATTTGGTTTGAGGAGTTTTCTTGTCTTCTTTCAAAAAATTTGTTGGGTATGTCATTAGTATGGAAATGTGGCATAAGAGATTAGGTCATCCTTCTTATTCTAAAAATGAAACTAGGAAATATTTGTTATCCTTTCCAAAACATTTGATAAAACATGATACTCCTTTCGTGTTTGTCATCTTTCCAAAACAAAAACACTTACTTTTCCCTTCAAGTAACAGTAGAAGCACCGAACCTTTTGACCTTATTCACATAGATGTCTGTGAACCATTCTCGATTCCTACTCATGATGGGTGTAGGTATTTTCTGACCATTGTATATGATTTTCTCGGACAACTTGGGTATATATTTTACGATCTAAGTCGGATGTCATTAGTCTTTCATACCTTTGTCAATATGGTAGAAACCCAATTTGATAGAAAGCTTAAGAAGGCTAGGTCTGACAATGCACCAAAACTCAATTTCCACTCTTTCTTTCAATCAAAAAGCATCTTTTCTTTTCATACATGTCCAGAAAATTCACAACAAAACTCTATTGTGGAACGTAAACACCAACACATCCTCAATCTTGCTTGTTCACTTCACTTCCAATCTCATATTCTTCTTTGTTATTGGGGTGATTGTGTTCTCACAGCTGTTCATCTCATAAATTATATTATTTCTCTCATCATTGATCACCAAAGTCCTTTTGAACTCATAATTAACCAAAAAGCTTCCTAATTATAACTCTCTCATAAAATTTGGTTGCTTATGCTATGCATATACTTCACCCAAGGGTAGACATAATTTCTATCATAGCTTGTGCTTGTGTCCTTTTAGGTTATCCCACAGGCGTCAAAGGATATAAAATTCTTGATCTTCAAAATAATTATATCTCTGTTTCTAGACATGTTACATTTCATGAGGATCTATTTCCTTTTGTTGGAGTTGAATTAGATTCAGAACATCAAAAAAATTTTCCTGATCTACCTTCCCCAACTTCCAACATAAATCCCATTGTTCCTCTAGTGTCATCTCATACTCACGATGCAGAAACTTCTTCTTTTGCATCACACCCGGAGGTTTTGCCTACTGCAACTCCTTCTTCTGATGTTTCTGATTCCTCTGATCAGACATCTCACAGGAGTAGGGCTGGGCAAATAAACCGAACCCGAAAATCCGAACCGAATCCGATCCGATAAAAATGGATCCGAACCGATCCGCACCCGACATAAATACCGAATGGATCTTGTTTTATGGTATTTTGGGTTATAGGTATTATCCGAACCGAACCCGAAACTAAATGGATATCCGATAGAACCCGAAACATGCAAAATCCTCAAAAAAATAAGTACTAAACATGATCTCAATTCATAATATGTATCCAAAATACTTTAAGATATTAGTGAACATATATAATTATTTTTTGTTACATGAAGGTTGATGGTTGAATGTGACAGTTGAAGCTTGAAGTTTTTAAATATAAGTTTCGCTTTTGTTTTAATAATGTTTCTCATTTCTTAAGAACTTGGTTTTCGTTTTATGCTTTCATTTATTTGGTTTTCTTTCTACCAATAACTATGTTTATCTTTCGTTTGATTTTGAATGATCATATCTGATGTTTCTTTCTTATTTTTGAATCAGTTTTACTTATGTTTTGGTTACAAAAAGTTACAAATCAAGTACTTTATATTCGAAAAACCGATTTTACTTATGTTTTGGTTACAAAGTAGGTACAAATAAGATACTTTTAAACCGAAGAACCGATTGGAACCCGAACCCGAAACTACAACGGATTATACCGGTTCTTTCAAGATTTACTAACCCCGACCCGAACCCGATAGAAACCGAACCGGTCCCGAACCGAACTTTCAAATAATCCGAATGGGGCTGATTTTGGTGAACTCAAAAAAAACAAAACCCGATTGAACAAAACCGAAATCCGATTGGGACCCCGAATGCCCAGGCCTACACAGGAGAACTAAAACACCAGCTTATCTCAAAGACTATTACTGCAATCTAGCATCAACCATACATGAAATTTCTTCATTCTTGAACTGCAACAAACTATATCCTTTATATCTCTCCTTTTTAGTTTCTATTGACAAAATCAAAGAACCCGCAACCTACGCTGAGGCAAAGCGTCTTCTTGTTTTAGATGATCCTATGAATGCAAAATTGATGCCTTGGAAGACACTAAGACTTGGAAAATATGTACATTACCTCTGGATAAGACACTTATTGGTTGTCGTTGGGTTTTCAAGAAGAAGTTCAATGCAGATGGTACTGTAGAGCGTTACAAAACTCGTCTCGTTGCTAAGGGTTACACTCAACAGAAGGGTGTTAATTATCATGATACGTTCTCGAGTTGTGAATCTTACAACAGTCAAAATCATTCTCTCTCTTTCGGCTATCCATGGCTTCTCTCTTCATCAACTTGATATATCTAATGCATTTCTCAATGGTGATTTGGATGAAGAAATATACATGAAATTTCCTCCAGGATATTTTGATAGAAAGGGGAACAAATTCCCTCCAACTGCAGTTGGTAAGCTTCAAATATCCTTATATGTCCTTAAACAAGATACGGGACAATGGTTCTTAAAGTTTTCCACCACATTAAGGACCTTGGGTTTCACTCAAACTTCACATTGAGCTTGGGCTTCACTGAATGGTTCTTAAAGTTTTCTCAAGACGTCTGATGCTCTGTTTCTTTGTGTCATTGTATACGTGGATAACATTATTAAAACATTATTATAATTAATTGTACACTGAAAAGTAATAAAAGATATAATATGATGATTAATATCTTTGTTAACAATAGTTACTTATGTTTTTAAAGTATCTTATTACATAGATTTTGATAATCTCATAGCTATATTTGGTATTTTGAAAGTTGTATCTCATAAGTAAAAAGGTGGATTTGTGAATTGGGACATTGATTTGTGTAGGTTTGAGATTTGAAAAAATTGATAGATTTTTAAAGTTACGTTGATTTATGCATTCTTGATTTGTAAAGTTTTATCATATTAACGTAATTATACATGTATTATTCTTTTTTTCTTTTTTTCAACAGAAATTGTTTTACAAATAAACATGATATATTAGATCTATTTTCCTTGATTATATTAGCTTTTTCTATAATTATTTTTGTAAAGTGAATATATGAGTTGTATAGGTTTTAGAATTAAAAATTGATAGATTTTTTTTGAAAGTTGTATCTCATAAGTAAAAAGGTAGAGAATTCATTTTCCAATAACACAAGAGTTAATAATAATAATAATAAGAGTTTGACCCGCTCGCCCGAGTGGGTGTTTATTTTTATTAACTTATATTTTATTTATAAATTATATAAATTAACTACTGATATTTTACAATTTAAATGAATATAAATTCATATATATATTTCGATCATGGTCTTTGATCTATGTATGTATTAACATTTGTAGAAGTATAAAACTGTGAAAATCATTATTTCGATCATGATTATAACCCGTATATTTTTATCATATTTTTGATCCGTGTATTTTATTTAAGTAGAACATAAAAAGGTAAGATTATAAATACATATATTGTATATGCTAAATCAAAGATACACTGAATTAGTTATAGAGTTTTATTTATACATAAACTGAATTATAGAAATTTTTTATTTTCCCCTCTATAAAAAGGAATGATCACATTTTTTTAACTAAATGATGCATTTTTCATAGTAAAAAAATATTCTTAAAGATTGTGGGTGTGAAAAGTAATAGTTTGTTAAGGAGAAAATAGTATTAATCGAAAATATGCAAACGATCAACAATAACTCCTAAGACAATACAAATAAAACACATAAATAAATTTTTTACATTAAATTTTCTAAACAATGATAGTGACGTATGTAATATATTTATATTTGTGAGAATAAATATTTTTCTAGAACAAAGGAAAAAAAAAGAATAACGTTGAAGGAGGAGTGATCATAGAGAAAAATTTAAATTATATTGTTACATAAATAGTTCATTGATGTGTATTAATGTTAATAGTCTTGATATGATGTATAAAAAATATAGATATGCAATTTATGAATTTAATTTAAAAAATATTTTACTAATTGTAAAAAAGATATGAAAGACAAAAAGTTAGGAATAATTATTACTATATTAATTTTGAAAAATACAAAATATCCATAAATACAGCTTCATTAATACATCAGTGGCATGACAATGTAAATATAGTAAAAAATTAAGGAATAATGGATATTTGTACTCTCCTTTTAATAGATTAGACTAGACCATGACCCGCCCGACCGGGCGGGTGTTTTGTTTTCTTTTAATTTTTAAGTTTATATTAAACGATGTATTTTTTAATAGTTACATGTAATTCATTGAGTTCTTTTTGTTTTTGTAATAACAATCAAATGTGTGAAAAATTTTTTGTATTATATAAAGAAAGCTTGAAATAAACAATGATAGATTATATACGAAATATATTGATAAATTTAGTTAATTTAAAATTTGTTTGGAAATAAATTACTTTAAGTTAGTAATATATATGAAATAGATAAATAAATATAAATTTAGTAATTGTTAAAAAAAATATAAATTTTGTAACATCAATTTATTTATTTATCTTGTATGGAAATATAACATATTAAAATGTCCATTAAGATTTATAAAGAATAAATAAAAGTCATATGTATAAAAAATATATACAAATTAGAAAGGTTTTAGTTTGGTTAAATTAGTTTGGTTAAATGGATACATCTATAATTAATTATGATATGAAATTGGCCCATATATTTATAAGCCCATATGTAACAGCTTTTTTCCGGGAAAGGTCAAAAACTTTAACAACTTTTCTATTATTTTCACTCTATCTCTCAACCAAAACTGTCGGTTCATCTCATCTCTCTCCATCTTCTTCGATCTCTCTTTCACTTCTTCGATCTGTCTTTTTTCTTTTCTATTTTTTTCTCACTCTATCTCTCTTACAAAACTGTTGGTTCATCTCATCTCTCTCTATTTTCTTCGATTTGTCTTTTAGTTTCAACAGAGAAGGAGGAACAGAAGAACTATTCCGATCGTCAATGTCAAAGCAGTTCTGATCCTTAATTTATCGAAGCTGGTAACTCCATCTGAAGAGCTAAAGCAATGGTATCAACAGTAACCCTAACTCAATCTTCATCTATCTATTTTGGTTCTGATGTATTGATAATCAAATACATTTATGTATTAAGTTTATATATATATATATATTGAACATGCAGATATTACTGTGATTTGCCGATATTTTTAGAGTCAATACTAATCAGATCTGGAATTAAAAACATCCACCGAGGACTTCATCTCAAATATCTCTCTACAATAGACTCTTTGCTATTTTCCTTCATTGAGTGGATACGTTTGCTAAAAAAATGTTGGTTATGTTCTGTTTTATTTTATTTGTTCTTTGGTTAGGTTTCTTAGTTTGTCTTATCTTTTTGAAATTTCAGGTATGTTGGAAACGTCCATATTCAGGTGACTGAAGCTCTGCTCCAGGACGTTTTTGCTAGCACTGGTCCTGTAGAAAGCTGTAAGCTTATTAGGAAGGAACAGGTTAGTGACTATGTTGCTCTGTTTTAGGATGCTATGTCTTGTGATTTCCCATGTTGTGGTATATATGCTGATCTCCTGGTTTTGATTTTTAAAATGTACAGTCTTCCTATGGTTTTGTCTCATACTTTGATCTACGATCAGCTGGTCTGGCTATCGTCTCTCTCAATGGAAGGCATTTGTAAGTTTCTTTCTTAATAAATCTAGCATGAGGTACTTACATTTCGTTGCTCTGTCTGAAATAGATTACATTGGTTGATGTAATTTGCAGGTTTGGGCAACCTATCAAAGTTAACTGGGCTTATGCTAGTGGCCAGAGGGAGGATACATCAGGTTGGTTCATGCTATTATGGTAGATTTTCTATCTCAATGTAGGCCGTTTTATTTAATTGCTTCTCTGTATACCCAAGTTGCTCGTGAGTTTTTCAGTTTCTTACTGCTGATACCTTCTGAACATCTTTGTTTTGGAAGTGAGAGTTTAAGATTTTCATTCTGACTTTTTGGTGGTGTATGTAGGGATGCAAGGGTTATGTGGGATCAGAAAACTGGCCGTTCAAGAGGATTTGCTTTTGTTTCTTTCCGAACCAACAGGTACTATACTTTCCTTTTTCAGTCCCAATCTGTGAACTGGTTTTACTATTAGCCATTTATCAATTGTTGCCAATCTTATTTCCTTGTGCAGGATGCTCAGACTGCAATAGATGAGGCAGGTGGTATGTCAACACTGCATCATTATCTACAGCGGCTGATACAACAGTCTGCAATATCTTTGAACAGTAAGTGAATTTTATTAAAACATGTCAAGAAAATAATACAAATTAGGTTTGTTAGTGAAACGGATAGTTAGGATATGACCGGATGAAATTGTTTGATGAATGTATATTGAAGTTTGTTCTTGTATGATGTCTGTGGTGATTGATTGTCATATAAAATTAGTTTAGAAATAAATAGTACCTGATGTCTGTGGTGATTGGTTGTTATAATTATTAGAAAAAAGTTTTCCATCTAAAACTTAAATTAAAAGAAAATACTAAGCAATAGTTTATAGTTCCCAGTAGACACATACACACGTCCAGAGCAAACAATAGGAAATTTAGAAATCCACAAAAGAAAATATCAAATTTAAAACGACATGCAAAGTTTGATGTTGAGGCTTTCCACGCACGCGAATGATAAATGATCTACACTTTAAGAACACAAAATATTAGTACTTAATTCAAAGAACAGTAGTCTTAAGAGTATGGTAACTAAATAACATACCTTCAATGTTTGAATCACCCTCGTCAGTTTTCAAGGTATTTGAAAACTTCTTTGAAAACCACATTCATAGTTTTCCGCTGAGGTTTTCCATCTTTCCCTACAATCAAAATTTTCAGTCCTTTTTTTGATGTGACTCAAAATTTTCCGCTGAGGTGATCAAGATTATGAATGCAGTGTAAACTATATATACAACGTGAACCTAAAACCCTAATAAAGAGAATATACCTAAACATATTCTCCAGAGAAAATCTCGTGAGTTAATACCATATCAAATATAGTTTCCAAAATATAGTATTCTATACATAAACACAAGCAAATGATTGGAGAGTAAATATTCAAAAATATCCTATAATTACTCTTCGACTCTTCCGCAAGCCAAGGAAATAATAATAGATATGCTCTAAATTTATTATTCAACTAAATATCCGAGAATATATGATACAGTTTCAAATTTTTAGATGTATGTTTAATATTTTAGAGTGATTATACGTGAGAATTTATTCTCAGCAAAAATTTTCGGTTGAAATATTCCGCAAGCCAAGATTTTCTGTTGAACTTATTGATACAGTTTCCGTTTGTTATAGGTGTGTTTAATATTTGAGTGGTTATAGGTTAGAACTTATTGTCAGCAAAGATTTTCTGTTTAGATATTGATTTTATTGCTTTGGCTAACGAAAAACTATATAATAACTTTCTTGTATATTATTAATTTGGTTTGGCTTTTTTATTAATTTGGTTCATATGATTTTAGATGTTTGTAAAAAACTTATGAATCATCCATTGGTATCTAAACATGTTTACCAAGCTGTACGTGAAGAAGTGTGGAGAATAAAGTTCTTAATAATATTACTCTTGATGTTATTTGATTAATAAAAGTGCAGGTGGATGAGAATGGTTTTATAACTTGCACTGGAAGAAGAAGTGGAAGTGCATGTTACAGTCTTATAATATAATTGGAAGAAAATTTGATACATATCTCTGATTATGGTGGACGTGATGTTATTAAGGAAGTGAAGTTGTTGTTGCCGTATTTGAAGGGAGAATAAACATGCATTTATTTATCGGAAAAGACAAAGCATTGTTTTAGGAATGATAATTAATAGTTTCAGTGGCATTCCATTGTAAATAACACTGAAAACTAAGGGGCATTTCAATAGGGTACTTCTATTTTAATAATAGAGATAGAAACAAATAAGGATGTTGTGGTTGTTGATTGATATCAAATTTTTAGAGTATTGCTTATATATAGGAATATATTATGGAAGGTCATTATTTTGAGGTTAATAAAAAAATTTACGTGATTTGCAAGATTAGAAATTAAAAAAGGATTATTTGGTGGTTTATTGATATTGTATTTGCTTAAATATAGGAATATATATCGTAAAGTGATTTTTTATGGAAAATAATAAATGAGTAGTTTTGATTTTGAATTATTAGGTTTAGTTTGAATAAATTGGATTGTGTAAGTTAGTATCGAATTTGAATCACGTGATTTATAGTAATATTGATATAATCTATGGTCTTATTATATGACATATGTATGTATCTAATGTACTGATTTTGATTCTGCAGACCAAAACCACTAATCTGATGCGATGAACTAAGTTAGCATCACAATTTAATTCGCTGGTTTGTCAATGATATAGAACGCCATGCAAGTAACCAGCAATTGTATTTTGATTTTTTGTAATATAGATGTTTAGTAATGGTTTGTAATTGATGGTTAAGTAATAAGACAAGAACATATGTGCTGCCTGACTGGTTACAACGCAGTGATTGCGGTTGCGGTTGCGGTTGCGGGTGTTTGCGGATGCGGGAGATTGCGGTTTTAAGCGTTAGTAAGAGATTTTTACGACTGGTTCAACGGTTAAAAATTGTTGCGTTTGTAGGATACTTATAACTGGTTTATCATAAATACAACGGCGGATAAGTAATAAATTAACAATATTTATATTTTATATAATTATCAAAATATTAAAATCATATTTTCATGATAAATATAAAATCTTTATTGAAAAAACTGCATTATTAATTTTTTAAAAAATTAAAGAAAATATTTTTTGGAAATTTTATAATATAAATATTTCAGTATTTCAATTATTTTAATTTAAATTTTTAATTGAATATTTTATTTTTATATTTATATAGTTTTGGGAAAAAATAATATTTTTTATCCTCCCGCAATCGCCCGCAACTGTAAACGCTAACTCGAACCAGCTTTTGAATTTCAGAGATTCGGAGTGATTTGTAGCGGTTTATAGTGTTTTCTATGATTGTTTCAAAATGCCAACAACCGCTACCAATCGCAAAAACTATGTTTGCGGGTGATGGCGGGAAAACCAGTCACACCCTAGCAAATGTATAAAAAGAATTTAGGAAAATGGTTGGCTGTGGTTAAGTAATGGTTAGGGTCTGACTGGTTCTCCCGCCATCACCCGCAAACGCAGCTTTTGCGGTTGGTAGTGGTTGTTGGCGTTTTACAACAATCACAGAAAACGCTATAAACCGTTTCAAATCACTCTGAATCTCTAAAATTCAAAAGCTGGTTCCAGCTAGCGTTTGCGGTTGCGGGCGATTGCAGGAGGATACAAATATTTTTTTCCAAAAAACTATATAAATATAAAAATAAAATATTCAATTAAAATTTTAAATTAAAATAATTGAAATATTGAAATATTTATATTATAAATTTCCAAAAAAAAATATTTTCTTTAATTTTTTAAAAAATTTAATAATGCAGTTTTTTCAAAAAAAAATTTATATTTATCATGAAAATATGATTTTAATATTTTGATAATTATATAAAATATTAATATTATTAATTTATTACTTAACCGCCGTTGTATTTGATGATAAGCCAGTCATAAGTATCCCGCAAACGCAACAATTTTTAACCGTTGAACCAGTCGTATAAATCTCTTACTAACGCTTAAAACCGTAATCTCCCGCATCCGCAAACGCCCGCAACCGCAACCGCAATCGCTGTGTGTAACCAGTCATGCCCTTAGTAATCTTACGGTATAATAATTAAGTATACGTGACTATTTATTAAATAACCAAACGTTGAGTTTTAATGCCAGTGGCATATGTTGGTAAATATTGTGAAAAAATTAGGACTAAATACTATTTGTACTTCTAATTTAATAGATTAGATTTAACAATCAATCATAACTAAACAATTTGAATAACAACAGATTTTTATGGATTTTTTAAATATCTTCTAACCAATAACAGTAGATTTTACTAAAATGAAAAGAATCAAGGTAGTGAAATCTCAAAATTTGTAAAATGGATTGAGCTGTTGTAAAATGGATTGGTACTGGCGGTTTAATTATGGTTTAAAAATGTAAGGGGCCAAATGAACTGTGAATGAGTTACAAATCTTGCCTTCACTTTGTTTTTTTGTTTGTTTGACTATTTTTTATTTATTAAACACTATAAATGCATCTCTCCTCTTCCAAAAACAAACGTTGTGAGCACAAACTACTGACATAGCGGATTAAGAAAGAAAGAGGTGACTTGTGTTATCTTATCTTATCATTTTTTTTTTCCTGCGTTGATCTGTTTCTTTTTACATTGATTTGGTGACTTGAATCTTGCACTAAGATCTATATAGGTAATCAAAATTAAGAAGCTCTCTGAATTATTATATAATCTTGTTGTCAGTGATAACCTTTATCGATTTAATTTGGTTCTTAAGGACGAACACTGGATCATTTCATTGTTGCTTGTTATGGGCTTCTTTTATTCGAGGATTCAATCCTCGATAGAACCATCTGTACATGATAGCTTCCGGAAAGGTTTTATATCTTGTAAGATCCCGTCAATCCATCATATTCACTGATGATCGTTGAGTTTTGTAAAAACTGAATTTAAATATGTTTTTGTGCAGAAATGATGAAAAATATACATTTGGTTTAAGAATCTAAACATGGGGTGACTTAATTGAGTTGTACTTTATCTTTTTTTTCTGTAGAGTTTAAGATGTAGATTAATTTGATGAAAACCATTTTGTTGTTCCTTTGTAGAACAATAATTTCTTGCTTTGGACATACATGCTCTATAGTAATTTTTAATTTTCAGAGATTTGTTTGCTATAAGTTTTTTAAAGAAAGAAAAAATTGAGAGAGAGAGAGAGAGAGAGAGGGTAAATAAGAGATTGTAGGAGTATCTATAGAAGGTTGAAGAGAAGCAAAGGAAGATTCGGTCGAGAGTCTAAGACTGTTTCTTCTCCTTTAATCTATGGTTTCCATCTCCTATACACACAAATTAAAACTTTAGCTTTCTCTAGGTGAATAGAGAAACACAGAGGTTGTTCTATAGAAAGATCTTGTATACACTTGATACTATTGAATCGATGAGAGTGTTGTCCTCTCCCCAGATGTATCGGTAAAAGGAGCTGGGTAAACAAATCTCTTGCACCTTTAACTAACTCAAACAACAAT